CTGGTGGTGTGTTTGAAATAGAAATAATTGCATATAAACTGAAATGACAGGCATTTGCCATATAGCACACATATATTATTAAATAATTTCCTAAGTCTATGAAATGAAGTGAAGCCAAACAGTTTATTAAGATTACCACTACTGGCTCCGCCTATGTTAGGCAGATGCCGGGGCAACACACCCTTTAAAAACTCTTTGCTGCATTAGCTTCCATTCCCGATTTAGTTTTACAGCACCAACCTTGTTGCAAGACTGTGGGACTGTGTGTGCTAAAAGAAGCACCTTGTCTCTGTCTGCTGGTTTTTACAGGCGCTGACCTGCAGACTGTTGCGTTCCACACTTGCCACCCTGAAGCTGCTCACTGTTTGTCTCCATCTCCCTCTGCATGTTTACTCAGGACTAACAGATGTCATGATAGATGATCCTCTCTTTTCACGCCCTCTGCATGTTTTTTTTTAAACTAGTGAAGCAAATGCATGTGGTTGCTTCTGTTCAGGTGAAATGTTTGTTACGATGTGTTATTTTTCACAGTGCGATAAGAAAATTGCACCACAATCTGGTCATGAAGCAAACACATCTCAAACCCCTTCCACTTGTTCATTCCTTTGCTTTATCTGATTATATGCAAGCACATTCCTTTACACACACACACGCAGATATACACATTCAAAATGTGCACACACACACACAAAGGAGGAGACGCTTTAGGCCGTAAATCTCATTAATGTCCACCTACCATGTTTACAGACTGCCTCCACCAGAGGAGCAGGATTGTGAGCCTCATGGGACTTTTGGCAAAGTCCAATACATCTTCTTCTGTAATCACTATAACCAGCCTTTTTGCTTTTGTTAGTGGACACACACAAGCATTCCCAGCCTTCCCATAGCAAACAGCACACAGGACATTTACACCAGTCATGACTTTGGCATAAAATCAATAGTCACTTAAACCACACATTTCATTAGTAAGTAGGGTGGAACATGCTACTCTGAGCCCCATGTTAAATACTTACCCCTGACCCTTCCTCCTCCCCCCGGCGTCCTTTTTATTCTTCTAGGTTTTTCTGTGGACTCTGCCATGGGGATAATGAGCCTTGGGGAGCTGACGTTCGTAGCTGGTGCACCCCGGGCCAATCACATAGGGGCTGTGGTTCTGCTGAAAAAGGACAACGTGTACCGACTGGTGCCACAGCACATTTTCTGGGGGGAGGAGCTGGCGTCCTCATTTGGGTACTCAGTAGCTACGACTGATCTAAATAAGGATGGGTGAGGAAATACTGAATGTAAAGGCAGTCTTGATGAACATTATACAACAGATAATCAGCGGTGGAAGACATATTCAGATTATTGAATTAGTAGAAGCAGTATCCATATTATTTACCTATTTGAACAAAATGATATCACAGTAAAAATGTTACATTGAACGTAAAAGTCCTGCATTCACAGTGTTACTCAAACACAATTTTACCTGTGTAAAACAGACATACTATCAGCAAAGTGTATTTAAAGAGTCAAAAATATAAGTACTCATTAGGGAGATTGGCCCTGTCACTGTTACATTTCTAAATTACTGGAGAATTGTTATGGATGAATGTTAGACGTTAACAGTAATTTACTGTAGCTGGCTGAGGTACACATACAATTACTGTGTTACAATGCATCATACTTTAAAAGTTGATCATATTTTCAACCCTTAATCTGAAAATGAACTATGTCTGCCAAATGAAATGTAGTGGAGTAAAAAGTATAATAATAATATATTTACTTCTGAAATATAACAAAGCAGAAGTATAAAGTAGCATAATGTGTAAATACTTCAGAAAAGTAAATACCTTCAAATGTAAATATACTTAGTTACATTTACAAGGGGTGACTGTAAAGGCGATAATTGTAATTCTGTTTATTTTTAGCTGGACAGACCTGATTATAGGAGCGCCTAACTTTTTTGACCGTAAGGCAGAGATTGGTGGAGCTGTTTATGTGTACCTGAACCCTTTTGGCCGCTGGAATGATCAGGCTCGACCCATCCGTCTCAATGGGACATATGACTCCATGTTTGGGATGGCAGTCAGCAGTGTAGGAGATCTGGACCAGGATGGATATGGAGGTGAGAAAAATGTTTTCGTCATCACGTGGCCTACAAAACAAGAGAGTGAATAATGGCCCCAAGGTTTTTGTCAGACCCCAAGACAGTATTTAACGGATGTGTACTGAGTCTAGACAATCATGTATTTTAAATTTGAATCCAAGATAAGATAAGACTTAAGGTTTATATTTAAACCTGAAGAGTTACTATTAAATTTTTTTTCTAAACAAACTATTAGGTAAATTTGCTGTAACTTAACTTACCTCACCTAACATGGAGCAATACAAATGTAAAAAGTCTCCTCATTTTATTATGATTCTGTTAAGGTTTTGCTGAGTAGGGCCCAAATTGCAGACACAGGCCGAGAAGTTGCTAAAACAGACTTTTAATAAGGGAACAACTGACAGAGCGACAATACTGATTTTCAGTTCTAATAAAACCGCACACCAACCAATCCTGTATCTGTATCAGATATTGCTGTGGGTGCACCTTTTGATGGCGATGGCAAGGTTTTCATCTACCGAGGCTCCGATGCTGGAATTGAGACAAAACCTGCCCAGGTGAGTCATGAGTCTTATGAGGGGGGTGAGTAAACAGTAGAAAGGAAGGGTAAACAAAAAAAGAAATAAACAAATTGATTATGAGACTGAATAAATGAGAGAATGATAACTTATCAGTTCCTTATCCCATCAGGTGTTGGATGGTCGTGACTTTGATGTGAGACGTTTTGGATATTCCATCTCAGGCGGTTTGGATATTGATAATAACCATTATCCAGACATTGCGGTGGGCTCTCTCAATGATTCGGTGGTTCTTTTCAGGTGAGAAAAGTAGTTCAAAGTTATTTAAACACCCAAATGTGATCCAGTCCGATTTGGAGCCCTGTGGCCCTATGGTTGAATTCCATATATAAGCAGTCTAGAGACACACAATAAACCCAAGTTCAATCAAAAATCTTGGATGCTTCAAATCAATTTTACCTTAATTTTGTCATTATTTGTTATGTCTCCAGCTCAGTGTTTTTGTGTCCCCCCCCAGGTCTCATCCAGTCATTCATGTTATCAGAGTGATCTCTATTAACCCTCAACACATTGATCTGGAGCAACACAACTGCAAAGGCAGAGATGGAGTCTGGTAAGAACTGATGATGTGACAAACATCTAAACACAGATTATAAAATTTATATTATTTACTAAAGAAGGATTTTTATCTACAGTTTTCTGTAGAATTGAATTGTAGTTATAAAAACCATAATACAGATAATTAAATTTTTACTGTCCGCCATCTGCTTTTTTTTTTATTTTAGTGTGGAGGTCAAGATCTGCTTCAGCTTTACAGCCCACCCAGAACACTATTCACCACACATTAGTAAGTCACACTCAGTTTTCATACCATTTTTGTTCTTCATGGTACTTCATGTCATCCTCAGATGACAGCAGTCACTTCTATTTATCTGAGGAGTAATATCACACTATCATAATATGAGTAAATCACAGCTGTGTAATTCTGTAATCCCTTAGATGGGGCCTTATTATATGCACCATAGGACTCTGTGAGCACTCTGTGTGTGTCGTGACATTTCAATCCTTCGCTATCTCTATGCATCATCCCCTTTTTTTTCTCCCCTCAAGCCCTGGTGGTCTGACATTTCATTCCTTCGCTATCCCCTTTTTTTCTCCCCTCAAGCCCTGGTGGTGCGCTTTGAAGCTGACACTGAGCGTAGGAAGTTGGGCCTACCACACCGTGTAAACTTCCTGGGACGCGATTCCCGTGACCCCGAGTATACCCAGACAGAATATGTTGAGCTACATCATCAGCGTCACCTTGCGTGCACTACTGCTGTCTTCCAACTCCATGTCAGTTAACTTAAATTTGTTCATGTTGTCCAGATTAGAATTATCAGATGTATTGTGGAGTTCAATTTTTTGGTTCAGTTTGATGTAATTTGGTAGTTTTTGGTCTTAGCTCTAGACTGTTATTTTACTGCAGTAGCAGCAAAACATTGTAAATAATGCTCAAATAAGAGTTGTTTATTTGATAATATGACTTTTCATACTGAGTTTTGGTGCACAGAATACTGTACTTTCCCTTTCATTCAGTGTTTTTATAAATTGATGTCAAATTTAGCTAAAATCACTCCCCATGTTTCTCTACACTACTTCTATGAACACACACATCTTGTTTACCTTAATAATTTTCAGAATCTTTGTCCACGCAGGAGAACATCCGTGACAAACTGCGTCCCATCTCATTAGTGATCACCCATACTATAAAGTCTGTGCCACCCCGCAGACACTCTGGTGCCAAGAGGCTGGAGAAACTGATGCCTGTATTGAATGTTTCCCCTTCAAATACACTGCACTCTGAGGTCTGTAACAACAAGGAGCTACAAGTATTTTACAGTCTGCCTTGATTTTAATGAGCATCTCCTACCAGCAGATTACTGTAAGAGCAAGCTGAGGCTGCGTGTAAAACTTCATATCAACTGTTATTTCTGCATTTGCATGCTGACGTGATAAAAACACATTTAAGCATTATCATTCTACACCATTTAATTTGGTATTCAAGACTTAAAAGTAGATAGGGTGATTTTACACTTACAAGCATGACTTCATATCTGTTCACATCTATCTTGCCTCACATCTGTCCCTGAAGGTGAACTTCCTGAGAGAAGGATGTGGCAGTGACAAAATCTGCCAGAGCAACCTGAAGCTGAGCTACCAGTTTGGAACACGACCCCTGAACTCCGACCTCTTCACCCCTCTGCCAACGTAAATATCTGCCAAGCGTAATCTGTGGTAGCTGCTGGATTGGGCATTGCCTCTCAACCTACACACCACAAATACAAACAATTATGTGTATATTTATTGTTTGTTATTGTTGAGGACACATTCAGAACCTTTACTTAGTTAAAGCACTAACACCAAATGGTACAAAATAGTCTTTTACAAATAAATCCTGCATTGAAAAGATTAAGCAAAAGTGTGCATGTATAATCAAGTATTAAAATCAAAGTACTTAATACCAGAAAATAGCCCATGTGACTGCTGCACTATTATGCACCATTAGATTATTATTAAGCGTGCATTAATGTAAAAACAACGCTTTAGTACAAGCACCTCAAATTTTTAAGCAAATGTACTTAGAGTACACCACTAGTAATAGCTAAACTAACGGTCATTGAATCATTTATTATGTAGCTCAGTCTTTCAGAATAATAACTTTTGGGTTGCATGAATCATTTATTATGTAGCTCAGTCTTTCAGAATAATAACTTTTGGGTTGCCAGAGTGTGAAAAGCAGAAGAAAAAACAAAAAAAAAAACATGATGCGTGTTTTTTTACATCTCCTGTCTTATAAAAATGATATGATGTGAGATTGCCACTCAAATAATTGTGTGCTTTACTTTTGGTTCTACCCAGCCTTCAGAGAATGTTGATTGGCTGTGTGTTGAATATTTTTACTGACAACTGTAAATGTGTGTTTTTATCTCCACCCCGTTCTCTCTGGCTTCCTGTAGAGATGAGGATGATGTGCAGGTGTTCTCCCTGTCAGACCAGCGGCTGGTGGTGCTGGAGATTACTGTCACCAACATGCCCTCTGACCCCCTGCACCCTGAGGAGGATGGGGATGATGCCCATGCTGCTCAGCTGCTTATCTCACTTCCAGACACTCTGCCATATGCGGGCGCAAGGGTCCCACCACAGGTATGGGTCCAGGCGCAAGGGTCCCACCACAGGTATGGGCTAAGGAAAATTAAATAGATTTTTAGAGATGGATTGGTATACCAAAAAATTCTATCAACTTCTGACAGACAATTTGCTTTTATAAATAATGGAATGATAACAGTTGATCTGTGTGGTGGAATTGTGCTCTGCTTGTCAGCTTTTGCTGATAATATTTGCCCGATATGTTGACTAACTGTAGATGAGATGTCAAGCAAACCAGAACGGCTCCCAAGTTGAGTGTGACCTGGGAAACCCTGTCAAACGAGACACTAAGGTGAGAAAACAAAACAAAATCTGCTGTACATTCTCATTACCAAATCAATTACACTTTTAGTTGAAATCATTTTGACCAGACTGCATTATTATTTTAGGACTTTAAATCTACTGTGCTAAACATTAACAAAGACATCAGCAGACAACCTTTTTGTTTAGTTTGTGTAATTATTTGGTATTGGTTGTAATAAATAATTGTTTGTCTCTCAGCTGACATTCTCCATCAACTTGAGCACATCAAATATTACCATTGAGACCACCGAGTTGAAAGCAGATCTCTCACTGTCAACGTAAGCCCCCTACATCTTCTCTGGCAATGAAAAGTCCAAATGACGTCATGATAGACTAAGAGTTTATTTCACACACCTCGTGCTTTGATTATTTAATTGTGGATATTTGACCTGTTCAGATCAAACAATCCTTTCATGATCTTGATGAACAGTGTGTGTTCATTGTGTTGTCCTCAGTATCAGCGAGCAGCCGGACCTGACCCCAGTCACAGCGCTGGCTAAAGTTGTGATAGAGCTCCCTCTGTCTGTCATTGGGTGAGTTAGAACTGTAAGAGTGTTTATACGCATCAGTGCCTTTGGACACCTGTTTTATTTTTGGCTAGTTTACTTAAGCCCTTAACATGCAAGTATAACAAGTATAAGACCATTTATCATTGTAAACAATGCTCTGACCTAGTAGGTGTGTATGTAGTTGTCTTACACATCGACTTAATCCTGTTTCCATAGGCTTGCTCGTCCTGATCAGCTGTTCTTCAGTGGGACTGTGAAGGGAGAGAGTGCCATGACTAGTCTGGAGGACATCGGCAGCCCTGTGGATTTTGACTTTGTGGTGAGGAACGAGTGTGTGCGAAGGACGCTCATGTGGGTTTTCTCTCTACATGTGTGTTTTGTTGCCATGTGGACATACTGTACAGGAGGTTAAAGGTCTGTCAAGCTATCTGTCAAGATGTTTCTACTGTCAGTATACAGTAATTAATCAGACTTTCAAAAAATCAACCAAGAAAGAAAACTGTCAGTCTTCACAGCTTCTTTGTATGTATTTCTTCTGTCAGGTTGCCAATCCTGGCCAAGCTCTGCAGACGTTTGGTTCAGCCTTCCTAAACATCATGTGGCCTTCTGAACTGGCCAATGGGAAATGGCTTCTGTATCCTGCTAGCTTGAAATTTCAGGGTGACGCAGACACACGCTGCACTTCCACAAGTGATTTGAATCCTCTGAAGCTACAGAGCTCGTCACCCGCAGAGCGTCCACAGTCTGGCAGTCACAGGGTAAGCAGAACAGTACTTTTCTCACTCTTGTAAGAAATGCACTTATTTAATACCATTCACAGATCTAAATCCTATAGGAGCAATATGAACTAGGAATGTGGGCATTCTGACCAAACTGTAGTTTTTAATATAAATTAAATGTAGTCATTTTTAATATAAATTGGCTGGAGCCAATCCCAGATGACGCTGGGTGAGAGGTGGGCTACACCCTGGACAGGTCGCCAGTCTATCACAGACCTGACATGTAGACAAACAACCACATACACTCACACTCCACCTGTATGAATGCATCACTTTCACCAGGATGGGAGAACACGCCGCTCCCACCCAGAGGATGAAGGTCAAGGCAAACCAAAGGGCAACATGGGACGGACCACCCCAGCTGTGGCAGCTTCAGAGAGACGCAAATCACTTAAACTGGTAAGAAGGGAAAGAACAGAGAAAGCAAGAGGAGAAAAAATACAGAAGGAATTACACATGAACCATGAAAGGAGAAATAGGTTATTAATAACCTGCTAGTGTTTTAAAGGCAATTAAACTAAAGAAAATATGCAGACTTTGTTGCATTTGTTTTTCACTGCTTTTGGAGCTGCTTATGTCAGTTCCCAGTTCACCTGAAAACACAATGCTCAGCTGTCTCTTTTCCTTCCAGGACTGCCTCTTGGGGTCGGCACGTTGTATTCTGTTCCAGTGTCCTCTCAACAGTCTTTCTGGTCAGGCCGTCCTCAAGGTTCACGCCAGGTTGTGGAACAGCAGTTTCATAGAGGTAAAAAAAAAAAATCCTGTCATTGTTGTATCTCAGTTTCAGTTTCAGTCCAACTGTTACACTGGACACGCATTATTGTGCTTGTTCTTTCTTTTGAGATGGTGCTTTTTTTTCTGTGGTTTGACTTATTTCCACAATATTCAAGTTGTCTGCTTATTATTATTGTTATAATTTTTTTTGCATGGATATTAGCATCAACTTTGTGCATTACTCTTATTACAAATTAACTAAATTTCCCCTTAAGCGTGAAGGTATACATCATGTATACTTGGGTTCAACCAGAATGTATGATTGCAATTTACTGGTTAATCTTAGATTGCTGTGTGTTAGCTAAAATAAATTAAACTTGACATGCCTGTAACAACAGTTGGCACACTATATCCAGATAAGATATGTTATGAAGTTTAAGCACATTATACTGAAGAACAAAGCAAAACATCAAACAGCTAAATGTAAATTAAGCTTTAATGGTTTCTGTCTCTCAGGATTTTGCAGCAGTTAGTGTTCTGGAGCTGCTGGTCAGAGCAAACATCACTGTGAAGTCCAGCATCAAGCACCTGGTCCTCAAGGATGCTGCTGCCCAGGTACTCAGCGCACATTGCAACTAGCTTCCAATATAAAGGATTACAAATCTAATATGGTCTTTTCTACTAGTACTAGTGGACAAATATAATGAAATACCTTTTACACATTATTACCCACAAAAATAAAACTAACAAAAATGAATGTTTAGTATGCACATTTTCTAAACTCCTTTTAAATGTGTCATGTATATACACATGTATAGGTGCTTTTGGAACAGAGGAACTTTATCATAGTTCTTACAGCTATTGGAAAAAGTACCCTCCTTTTCCAGGGGAAGGATAATAGCTCTTACAATGCCTTTTTGAGGGACTTTTTTTTAGCTCTAACTTCAGGGTAGGTAATCTCCAAATGCAATAGGGACCACGCACATGTACATTAACTGCAGAGGTGCTAACAGTCGCCCTGCTTAGTATTACGTCACTTGGCAGTGCAAATGCAAACAGAGAAAAGCTTGTAAAGGTGTGTAGTTCTTGGAGGAGTCCCTAGAACTGATGGGTCCAAAAGCAACTTATATATCAGTCTCTAGCATGATCTCATATTCCTTTTAATTTAGTATTAGAATGCATCCTCCTTTCCTCTTCAGGTTCCAGTGATGATCTACCCTGAACCTGGTCTTGCTGACCAGTACCAGATCCCCTGGTGGATCATCCTTATAGCTGTCCTGGCAGGCATCCTGCTGCTGACTCTACTGGTCTGCATACTGTGGAAGGTAACACACAGAATACCAAACCCTCAAGCATCAGATAACACACAGAACACTATACAACTTCTTCACAAGTATTTTGTAATAATAAAAATCTTCAAGGTGATACAGTGACATAAACACCTGGTTTATGTCAGCAGATAGCTTGCACATTGAAACTTGGTGTGCCCTTTTAGGATTCCTCTATAGGAAATACAATAAAAGCAGTTCACTGGACTGTAAGAGGTCCTAGAGTTTCCATGGCTTTATTCCTGTCACTTTACCATCACTCAGCATTTTCCTTGGTATTTCATTTTTTTATGTACTTTGTTTGTTCAGTCCTATAACTATTTTAGTCCTTTCAGCTCACTCCCATCTGTTCCTTTCCTCTTTAGTACTTGTGTTTTTCCTCTGTGTCTCACTGCCTTTCCTCTTAACTCTGTCTGAGGACTTGCACTTTATTCCATTTTTCATTGTTTTCCTGCTTCTCCCTGTCCTACCTTTTCCAAATTTTCCGTGGTGATCTGGTGCCCCAGTGTGGGTTCTTCAAACGCAGTGAGCGGCGCCGATACTATGAGACGGAGTACTACCACGCCCATCTGGGGGTCCAGCCCTCGGAGGTGGAGAAGCAGGCATCAGAACTATAATATAAAAACATTTCATTCTGGCCTGTTCTCCCCTCCCCTTCTCTCTCCAAGCGGTAATTCTCACCACAGCTGCTTTGTTCCTCGACCCACTCTTGTGTGGCTGATGATGTTCATTACAGTATGAAATATTTGCACATTTTGCCGTACATTATCACAAAAATAAAGACATAAGAATACCTGGGATGGTGGGTAACTGACTGCTTGCTAAGCCCAGCTCCCATTAGTTACTGTTGCTGCATTTGCATGGCCAGATTAACCTCCTAATCAAATCTAAACTAGAGCTGAAATGATGAATTAATCAGCAATTATTTTGATAAACAAACTGAAATGCAAAAATTTCAGTGATTCCAGCTTCTCTAGTATAAATATTTCCAGTTTTTTTTTTT